TATATATATATATATATATTTATTTTGGAGTATAAAAACAAAAAACCATAATTGTGGTTCACGGACCTGTTCTATCTACCTTGCGGACAAAAACACGCACAAAATTTCAGCCACAAATACAAAACGCTAAGTAAACAAAAAGCTTCAACATCTTCTCAAAACAAACCTCAATGGCGAAGCCGAGCAAAGTCTGTGTCACTGGAGCCGCCTGCTATATCGGTTTATGGCTTGTCCGTAAGCTCCTGCACAGGGGCTACATCGTTCATGCCACTCTAAGAAATATAGGTATTATAAACGTTTTTTTTACATCTGCATCCTAATTTATAAGCTTATATATATATATTTTTTGGGCTTTTGTGCAATTTATATATATGTTATAGGTGATGAAGCGAAAGTGCAGCTGTTGAAGGAGCTGGATGCAGGGGAAGAGAGGCTGAGATTATTTGAGGCTGATTTATATGATGCGAAGAAGTTCGAGTTTGCAATTAATGGATGTGATTATGTCTTCCTCCTCGCCACGCCGCTGTTTCACAACCCTAACTCTCAGGCATTAATTGTTTCTCTGCCTTCATTTTTAAGTATTGTAGGATACAGTGGAGTTTTATGCAAAGATTAGACTTTTATGATTGCAAATGTGACAAATGTTTTAAATTTGGTCCATTTTTTGAAATTCTCACTCAAATATGTTCAAATTTATGATAAAATCCTAACACTTATTCGTACGTTTTTATCAAATTCTCAATGATTTGATATATCGATTTGGTCGTTTAAAAATATCATCTGGGTGTTACATTTTGTAAATAGTGATGTTTCGATGGCTTTATATGAAATTTTCTCTTTAAATTTTTATTTAACCATATATAGACTTATGGTCAAATTTGTTGAGCAGTTGATAGTCAAATTCCCATTAATAGTCAACAGGAATTGTTCATCAAGGATCTCTCATTAAAAGATTGGAAGATTTACATGCATATACCAGTCAATTCCTATGTATTTACATATCTGACGATATCTAACCTTCAATTTTTACCTGCAGACCACCTTACCCTATGAATAAAACGGTGTTTTTCATTTTTTTAGAAGTTAAAATCATGGTGTATTTTATGTGATATGAACAATTTAGGTGGTATTAATGTAAAAATTAAAATTTAGGTGTTAGAAATGTAAATACATGAGACTAGAGTGGTATGTATGCATGTAAATGCCCCCTAAAAGATTTGAATTCCTTGCATTTCAATATATCTTATAAGATTTGACCCAAAAAAAAAAATATTTCCTGATTGTCTTTATATGCTTGGCTTCTATCAGTTGTGGGCTTAAAACCAGTGCCGGATTTTCTGTATATTAGCATTGGACAAATTCGATGCTAATATGACGATAATATGTTATGTTGGTCCACACAAAAATCCGAGTCGAAAATGCACTTAGCGTCGAAAGTGTCTGAGGCTAATTGTTTGCGTTGGTTTTATCATCAAATAATATCGACGTTATGCAAATGTCAACTACAGACTTTCCGTCTACTTTTGGTTTTATCATCAAATAATATCGACGTTAACCATATTCGAAACACCCCTTGCTGATGCAAATGTCAACTACAGACTTTCCGTCTACTTTTGACAGATGCAAATTTGCGTCTTCTTTTGTATTGATCATATTTGTCAGAGAAGTTATTTAACCTGTGGGTATTACGGTCGGAAATATTTGACACAAATATGTAATAAATTTAAAAATAATATAAAGATAACCTTGCTAAAAGAAATATTACTACTGTGGGCAATATGCTAATTGTCATCCAGAGGTGTAGTCACTGCACGTAATATTCGCACAATGGGCAATGATGTTCTAGCTCACAACATAGTCGGCCTATGCACGACACTATCTATTACCAACGAAATATAATCATTGAGATACACATATAAATCTAATAAGTTTTGGAATGTTCTTGTTGCAGTATCAAGGGACAACAGAGGCTTCATTGGCTGCATTGGACATCATAATGGGAGCATGCGAGAGATCAGAGTCAGTAAAACGAGTCATATACACAGCTTCTATCATGTCTGCTTCCCCAAGAAAGAAAGATGATTTCAGCTTTAAAGACTGCATGGATGAATCATGTTGGACTCCCCTCCATTGTCCTTTTGCTCATGCTCAGGAATTCAATCGGGTTAATATCTTTACATCCTTCTTATTTATTGTGTTTCATTATTAGCACATAGATTTCTAATTTAGTTTAATTTGGGCTTGACAATCATTTTTATATATCTTATATCTCATGTGTGAGGAAATATTGATTATAGAAGTTAGAATTTATGTTTTCGTTGGTTGTCAGACTCAAATTTATCAAAAGCATATACTTATTTGATGTTTGTGAGTCTATACAATGTTCAACTAGAAATACTCGAAATGGTGGAAGGCTTAAAGTAGAGATAGAGAGAGAGAGAGAGAGAGAGAGAGAGAGTCTATGTTGAAGTCTTTATAAGTGAAAGCATTATAAGAATTTTGGTAGTGTTATTGGTCACAAGCTATCTCCCTTCACTATGATCTATTCTATTTACTTTTTTAATTGTGGTTGAAACTAGTCAAACTCTATTAATGAAAGCTATTATAATAAGTAAACAAGTTAAAATTGAGTCAAAATCATCTTCATTTGAAGGAAATAAATTTTCTAGTCATAAACTCAACTAGATCATTAGTTCCCAAAAACGCTAAATCATACAATGGAAACTAGACCCCTAGTTGATTGACTTTTGTTAGTTCTTGGAACGTTAATGTCTGTCCTTTGAATGACACAATTTTGATTTAAATAAATGTTTTATATTATTTAGTAAGCCTCACATTTTTAAGCTAAAAATTTATGCAGCCAAACTCCCTTTTACAATAGTTATACTCTCACATCACTACAGGAATTTAGATTATTACCGCCAGTCAAATACCATCAATAATAATATTACAACTATTAGTAACTTAATTACCGACGATTAAGCTACATCTTATTTGATGTGCAAAAATGCTTCTTGGTAATATAATTACCTAAGGATTTACCGACGGTATTTTAACACTGATAGTTTTCCAACGAATATTAACTGTCGTTGTTCGTTCAAAACCATAGCATGTTGAACTGTCAGTGTCCGTTAGTAATATAAACGACGTATATATTTGTTGGTCAAGTGTTGAGCTTTCATAGGAAACGTGTCGCCCTTCCATTAAAAAAAAATTTAGCACCACCATCGATTAATCGTAGATAATTACTGACTGATATATCTTTCAAAAAAGTGCAGCACCTTATGAAGTTGTCGATTGTTCGGTAGTCCATCTGAAAACTGTCGGAACATAATCATAAAGTCGTAAAACCATCGGTAAACCGTCAAAAACTTGTAACATCAAAAATAAAAAATAAAATAAAACTCCTTCAACACAACAATTTACACACTTGCAATCGTAACAATACAATTTTCACATAGCACAACACAACACAATAATGAAACTAATTGATACATAACCATATACAAAAATAAAACAAAAATAATTGCAATAAACTAAACAAAATGAACAATTGTCCAATAAAAATATTATTTGGGGCAAATAAATTCTTTAACATATACCAATATAAAAAAATAACCCCTACACTTTCTCATCCTCATCCCATCAATGTCCTCATCATCATCCTCCTCCTCCTCGTCGCTTGAACTGGCTGCTTAGATCTCTCTCATTCATAACGTAGAATGGCTTCGATCTCTATTTTCATCTTCAGCTCCATCACCAATCTTAGGGTAGCTAGTTGGGTGAAGACTTGGGCAGCAACCTGAACAACAACCTGACAACAAATCTTCTCATGTGCAGTGGAACCAGATGCACTGGATGTGCTAGAGGTTGGACAAGCATTATATGTCGGCACTCGGGACCTCAACCTGTAGACCCTGCCTTTTTTTTTTTTTCGGCCATTTTATTCAGATGGATCATGAGATATGTTCAAATCACCACCCGACTACTGGATCGGCTCTCCACGAAGCTCTGAAAAGCCTCATACAAAAATGTGATTAATGATAGTTAGAAACTAAATAAACATTGATATTTATTTGAATTTTGTACTAATCAATCTTATGAATTACCTGGGTCGTCTGAGATATGTTGTCCGTCCAGAACTGATCGGACTGTCATCTCTGAGTGCGCTCATGTAACTCTGCAGCGGATGACTCCCATCCTTTCTCTATATTCTGTCAGTGTAATAAAACAGTTATCATAAATTTAATGTAAAATAAGATTTAATGCAGAAAATAAGTCTCACCAGTCACCTCTTATACTCTATATGTGGGAGCGCCCTACCAGTGTGCTTCAAGACCCCTATGCCCCCTTTGTCAGAGTGATCATTTTGCTTAGCATGCCCCTCTTCTTATGATAATCAGGAGAGTCCTTGTCCCTAAGCAGGGCGGTGAACACATTCTCGTCGAGCTACTAGGGACGCTAATGTGTCTTCTGTATATCACAAAACTGATCGCAAAGATGATCGCTCGCCTTGTGCTAAACGTATCTCCAGATGCGTGCCTCCTCCTCTAGAGGCTAGGACCACCATTTCTGTAAACTGAATTAGAAAATTTTAGATTCATAAAAATAAATACATACCTGAAGATTACTTTGTTTGCGGTTTGTCGCAAACTTCTGAAACCATACTTTGTTTGCGGTTTGTCGCAAACTTCTGAAACCATATGGCTCGAATTGTCATCGAGATCTCCCTCTAGGAAAAGTATAAGTGATCATACTTGATCTGACTAATGTTCCTAATAAAATAGATGACCTCTGTGTGTGCGTGTGTGGGTAGGCCGGGTGGGGTGGGGGGAAATCTAAAAATAACATATAATTTGATTGTTATGAAATTAAAAAAAAGTAAAGTAATAATATCAATACCTAAGAAAGCTTACATGTTCCTCACTGTCCAGAGTTGATGACGGCTGCTTGTGCTGCATGAACTAGACAACACATCAATAACATCTGATGGTTATGATGTTGGTTGGTGGTCGTGTCTAGTGGTGGTGCTGTTGTCGTGGTCGTGACTGGTCGCGATGCTGATGTGGTAGTCATGATTGGAGGTGGTGCTAGTGAGTAGTCGCGACTGGAGGCGGTGCTGGTGTGGTGGGAGGTTAAGTGGAGGCATACTGGGGCAACTCAACTGCAAGGCTCGCCTCCATAGTATCGTGTCCATGGCTTCATCAGCTGACAGACTTTTGCAAGTGCCATTTCCCCTAACAGGTGGAGATTGCCCTTCTCTCCAGAAGCCATCTGCAAGCAGGAAAGTAAAATTAATTAGTGCAACTATAGAGTACTAAAGTTGAAAATATAATAGTATGTTGTATAAAGAAAGAGCAACAGTAAAGTGCATGCAATCTACAGAGTGCTAAAACTGAAAACACAAGAGCACGTAATAAATAGAAAGGAAAACAGTAAAGGACATTATACAAACTATTGAAAGTGAAAACATAAAAAAATACACAACAAACACAAAATAGAACTGTAAAGTGTAATCTACACATCACTAAAGTAGAAAACACAAAATTACATAGTTGGATTAACTTACACAGTTAACCTCCTATGATGAGTCACTTGAGAATGTAGTTAAAATTACTTCATTCAAAGCATCATCAAAATCATACTCATCGATGTGAATTTCTTCATGTTTGCTACTAGCAACCTCTAAATTGAGCTCTTCATGGATTGTATTTAGCGGAATGTATAAATCTATCATTTCTATTTCTTGATGAGCAGGTTCAATTGAATTCTGAATAGTAATAGTCACTATAGGTTTACCAGCTATGACTGCTGCCCACTCAACTTTATCTCTTATTCTATGAAGATATGAAAAAAAAAATACCTGAATTTTTTGTTTAAATAAAATGAACGTATCAAATTTACCATATCATCTATTCACTTTTACTTTAACGATGTTATATGGTTGCATTACCCTTGTTCCACGATTAGGAATAGGATAACACAAATCATAGTTGAACACAAATAAACTCCAATAGAGCTAGGATATCATAGTTCAAAACCTTCTTCTAGAATCCCATAACAATCTATCTCATTATTTGGTTTATTATTTGCTTTAACACAAATACTGAAAATTACAATTCTTTTTCCTTTTGATCAGAAAGTCATATGAAACTTGTAGCTATTCACATTAATGCGCATGAGTTCCCAAGCAAGATCTATCAAGCCTTAATATGTTACTCCATTGTTCTGATCATGAATCTAATAATTCATAAGAACTTGAGTTAATGAAGATACCTAAAATAATTATCTTAGATGATTAATAAATTTGTTAAACTCTAACATACATAATTTGTAATTATCTTAGGTACTCAACTTTTGATCATTCTTATTTGTAAATATAGTTTGTTCTCAAAGCAAGTAAATACATAATTTACATTTTTTATGGATTACACAGAATTACATCAATTCAAAGACATTGACGGAGAAGAAACTCCTAACCTACAACAAAAAAAATAAGCAAAGAGGAATGAAAGTGGTAAGCTTAGTCTGTGGTCTAGTGGGAGGGGATGGAATTCTTCAAAATTTGTCAACTAGCATGGCTGCGATCATTTCACCATTGAGTCGTCAATGGCTTCCCTATAATGTGTTAAAGCTAATCCAAGAAATGTTGGGCTCAATCCCTTTGGTTCACATTGACGATGTTTGTGAAGGGCATATTTTATGCATGGAGAATGAGTTCATTTCTGATAGATATATATGTGTTAGCCATTGGCTAGTGATGCAAGAGATGGTTGACTACTACAAACTCAAGTTTCCTAACGCTCAAGTTCTTGACGAGTAAGTATGTTGAAGCTTTCTTTGGTTCATTTCCTTTATTTTACTTTTTATAGTTAATTAACATCATATTTAAATAGCCTACTACCATTATACATATAATTCAAATATAAATTATTTTTTCTACATCAATTATATAGATTATACTACATTGTCATTTCATTTTATACGTAATTCTATATAATTTATTCATATATACAAGTGCCTCAATTATTCATCTACTAAAAAATTTACCAAACACTAACATTTTTAATTAATCTTAAAGATAGTTGAGAAGAAAAAAGGTTCATTATAAATTTGTGTTACTAACTTTGAGATATGCATCATTTTATTTGATTTCAGGGTTGAGGGCGTTGATGCTAGAAAGCTACCCAGTTCTACCAAGTTACTAGATCTTGGGTTCAAGTACAAATATAACATGGAGCAAATACTCAGTGGAAGTGTTGAATATGCAAAGAGGTTGGGTAGCCTTCCACATTTGATAAGCTAGTTAGTCTCAAATTTAGTAATTAACTTATAATGGTAACACCACTTTTGATAAATCATGTCATAGGAGACTACATTTAGGAAGGGAGTTTCAAGATTCAATGTCATATGTAAAGAACATATGATGATGAATAATGGTATATTTTTAAAAGTTATTAACTATTTATATGTTTTACAAATAAAATCTTATCAAATTTGAACTTATGCATAATTTTCTTCTTATAAAAGCACACACAAATAAATTCAAAACCTTAAAAAGGTTTTTTTTGAAACCATGTTGACTCTAATTCAAACAAATATACATTCTTTTTGATGAGATGAATTTAACAAGATGATAATTACTTGATTATAGTTGCATTTGACCTTGAGCCATTCATTTTTCTTCCTCACACATGGATTATATTGTTCACACTACCTTGAGCAATTATTTGAAAATATAGACATTTATGACTAATGTAATTTGTTTTTTTGCCTAAATATTTTGAATCACTTATAGAAATATGGGTAAATCTCCTTAAGTACTTTCTAAAAATTTGAATTTAAAATTTCGACAAACCTTAAAGTTTAGGACTTCAAATTTTTCTTACAATGAAATGAATGTTCTTTAAAAAGATTTACTTCTTATTATCCGGCTTTTATTTCATACATTTATTTTTTTTTAATCCATCAATAATTTTTATTAGTTTTTAAAATTTTCAATAAATTAATATTATTTTCGGTAATCAATAACTCATTTCATATATTCATATCAAATCTCTTAATCCATCAAAAATTTGTATTTGTTTTTAAAAAATTTAATAATTTAATATTCTTTTATGCAATCAATAACTCATTTCATATATTCATATCAAATCTATTATAACTAGTTTCATATGTTATATTTTATATTTTAGTCATAATTGTACTTAAATTTAAGTTTTTTTTTTTATTAAATGTACTAAAATTTTAGAATATATTAGATATGTAGAGGACATACTAAAATCAATGAAATAACATGTTAAATTTTAACTACTATTCGTTATGAAAATTTATATAATAAATATGATAATAAAAGAGTTGCTTATCATCATATTACATAAATTTGTCAATTTAAAATGTTGAGGACAACGATAGCCCTACTTCATTTTTTAGATGCATGTCAATATCTAGTACATTGAATTGTTATGACTAGTTCGTGTGAAATGATGAGATCTCCTTTGAGATCTGTAGGGCGCCAAATTGGGATAACGCATTTTTAATATATATATATATATATATATTATAGTTTTGAAAAGTAATAATTTAATTTTTGAAAATATGAGACTGAACTGATCTCATATAGACAGTAGTTTAAATAAACGAGCACAATACACCGCAAGCAATGCATCTCCCGAGGGATAGACACATTACTTACTAGTGAGACTCGATTAAATAAATTAAAGAATTTATGACATCTGTTTTAGTCTGCAAAACTATTTATGTTAACCGATAAATTTCTTCTATCTAATATAAAAGATTAGACTGGGTTTATATTAAGCTGGGTTTTAAAGTTTTCTGTAAGGGCAAACCCCTATAGTTAATTACATCTTAGACAATCGAAATTGCCTAAGAAAACTCTCGATTTTGATAAAAAAATATTGTATTCAAGAATTTCAAAGTTTAGGACTTTCAAGATTGGACAAATGAGTCAAAGGAGTATCAAATTGAAAAAAAACCAAATTTGGAATATTTTTTATGGAACATTTTTTATGGAATCCAAAGGAAGAAAACTAGGGAATGCCACGGATTCTGAGGAGAGTCTCGATCACTTTCCAAGTTATCATATGATTTAGCTTCAATTTTTGAAGAGATATGATTAAATGTTTCATCCTACCAATTTTATTAATTAGAACTTACATTTTCATAATGCAATCATACAAATAACCTAGAAGATAATATGATTTATGTTGTAACAAACGACAACCTTGGAACCTAAGGCGAGTTTGGGCTCAAATTGCACATCATGATTGGGCAAAGGCCTAAAGATAAGATGAGAATTTATGTTACACTAGACAAACAACCTCGAAATCCTATTGATTGCTTTTTAATTCTATGGAAAAGATTTGATGTTGTAGATCTGCTTGCTCTCTCGAAGTTGTTCTCTTGTACAATCTCGGTGTATTGCCCACAGAGTTAGCTCCAAACTCCTCGTCGAAGTAGCATTCCTAAAGTCTAAGGTTCAAAAAGGTTTTAACATGTATGTTTCAATGTTTTGGTTTCGTTATTGTTCAAGTATTATGGGGGGTCAAAGTTGATTAGAGCGACACCGGTTAGGATCCCACGGTTCCCTCGTTCTGGTACCACTATTTCCTCTTGATTTTATTTAGTTTAAACGAGTTGTTAAGCTCAATTAAACTGGGGAGATCTCGTTAACAACCATAGATTACCTCATCTTCCCATAAATTCAAAATGACGTGTTATGCTTTTTTGCTTTATTGTTTTGTTTCGAAAAAGTTGTTAACGTGTTATGCTTTTTGCTTTATTGTTTTGTTTCGAAAAAGTTGTTATTTTAATTTTGAAAACAGGTTTTGTAATTTTTAGTTTCGGTATAATTTTGCAGCTAAAACAAATAAATGTGGGTAAGAAAAATACTATAAAGTAAATGAATAAAATTTCATTGCATAAAATAAAAATGTGCACATGGGCCTCTGCTACCGCTGCGTGATTAGCATCATAAAACATAATACATTTACAGTAAATTTAAACAAATTGCAGGAAAGTAGATAGGAGCACCCAATACTAAAAAAAATCAGAAAAAATGAGTCGTAGTAAAACACGAGTGAGTAAAAGAAAACCCGTAGTCACATATAGAAGATCAGAACTAAGTGTAAAACATTGATAAAGGTGGGGGCTCAGAGCTAGACTATGTGCTTCCCGACCTTAAGTGAGAGTTACCAACCCGATAATCTACGGAGTGCAGTCCTAACCTCGATCCAAGTAATTAACCGTGGACCTTTATAAATTTTTATTTTTAAATTTAGTTTTCATGCATGTAGAATTTGCTTTATCATTCAAAAGAGATTTCATTTAAAACATTTTGTAGAGTGGTGTAGTCCACATGTTAATTAATTTGATCGAGCTAGGACTACAAGCGACCTAAGAATATCAGGGGCAATCATCTCCTCAAGAGTCGTCGAATAGTATCATTGGTTCTTATCCTCTTCTTTTATTAAATGTCCTTGAGGTAGGAGATACTGCTCTAAATCCCACATTGTATCACTCATTTTAGCACACATTAGCATTATCTTCATTGCCTTAACCACCTAGGCCTTAGACTTACACAAGCCCGATGATCCATATGGTGTGGCAAAAACCAAATATTCTCAGTTTCTCACAAGGATTTAAATAACTTAGAAAAGACTCAAATCCTTGAGCATTGGGTAAACTAATATAGTGCCCACCAAGCCAGTCTGGGCGCTATAGCGCCCATTATGCCCGTTTGTGGCGCTATAGTGTCAGGGAGCAGCGCTATAGCGTTAGGGAGCGGCGCTATGACACCATATAAAATGCACCATTTTTGCTCATTTTCCCCTCATTTTTTTTTTAAATGTTCATTCCATAAACCTAAAACCAAAAAATATACAAAATACATTTCTTTAAAGTGCAACCCCTCATTTTTTTAAATGTTCATTCCATGTACCTAAAACCAAAAAACATACAAAATACATTTCTTTAAAGTGCAATATCACTGGAAATATGCATAAAACGATCATAAAATATGCACTAAAAACATGTAATTTTAAGGTGGATCAATGTCCATTTTTTTTATTATGTCCAATTTTTTTTATTACCACTAGAAGAGGCTAAGAAAAAGATTTATTCCTAGTTGGCACTATTAATTCTGTCACTTTGTTAGCCATAGGGTTTTAGGACCTAAACCAAAGGAGATGCTCTTACTCATTTGAATATCTCATATATTTATACTTGGATGTTCCTCTTTGTAAAAAATAGGTTTAGACACTTTCAAAAATTAACAACATTTAAATCTTCAGGTTGAACTCAAAGCCAGTAGGCTCAAACCTTTTTGAACATTGGGCATTCACTCATTCTTTGAGGGATTAAAACACATGCTAAGTTTTGTATATTACGCATAAGATGCATATACTTGTTTGTATCACCGGTGCTTCACTGCACCTAGTCTGCATAAAGTTTTTTGGCATCACTATCTAAAAATGACATTGAATTTCTAATCTTAGGATGATTTTAACTGGATCATTAGGATTTAGACTTGAAAATTATTATGTCTAACTTTTTCCTATATTTTATTAATTGTGTTAGAAAATTCAAAAATATATCATATGGTGTGTGTTGACCTCACTGATTAAGGTCTAGTTTCTTCCTTAGAAGCCTAGGATCCAGTCATGGGACTTTTCTGTTGACTATTCCTAGAAGACTAGTAAATGAACCCTCACAATTAGAAATTCTAAGACTCTTCTCTGCTCATCTTGAAATTCCACATATTGGTTCTAACCTTTAACACTTAGTAGGTGGAGCCAATATGAGGGAGCTCAAGAAGAGTCCCCATAGGACTGTTTGGCCTTAGGGTTAGCCCTGGGTGGTGTGGTCTTTTTCAGTCTTATACACACACGCACTTGACACTCCTCACCTTCACTTACAGCCTCAACCCTAACCAAACATGCCTAACTTGATCCCTCGCTCTTTTGGAGACTCATGTGGATGATCCCCTAAACCATTAGCCCTAAGCTAGGGTTTGGCTAAAACCAGCACAT